TGTAATATTTTTAAGCTTCATCATTACTATAGCATGTATCGGTATTTCATTCATTTTTTGAATCATATTCCATTGTGTGACTATGCTATATGTTACCTATTCATCAATTGATAAATATTTTTGTTTCTACTCTTTTGCTAGTATGAATAATGCTGATATGATCAATCGTGTACAAGTTTTTTTGTGGACATATATTTTCAGTTCTCTAGAAGCAGAATTGCTGGGTTATACAGTAATTCCATGTTTAATATTTTGAGCAACTGCCAAACTTTTCCAAAGCAGCTGCACCAATTTACATTTCCCCAGCAATGCATAAGTTTTTCAATTTCTCCACATTCTTACCCACACTTATTGTCCTTTTTATTACAGTCTTCCTAGTAGATACGAAGTGATATCTCATTGTGGGCTTTTCATTTTCCTAATGATTAGTTGAACATCTTTTCATGTGCTTGTTAGCCATTTATATATCTTCTTGGAGAAATGTGTGTTCAAATCAAATTTTCAAACGGGTTGTGGAGTTTTAAGAGTTATTTATATATTCTAGATATAAGTCCCTTATCAGATATTGTGATTTGTATATATTTTCTCCCATTCTGTAGGTTGCCTTTCATTTTCTTGATAGAGACCTTTGGAGCACAAAAATTTTACATTTTGATGAAGTCAAATTTGTCTATTTTTTCTTTTGTCATCTGCCTTTATTTTAACCTTTGCCATAATATTATACATTGGTGGAAAAGTAATTGTGGTTTTTGCCTTTTTTTCTAATGGCCAAGCTTGTGTTTGTGGAAATTGTTTTGGCCACATTTTCATTAAAAGAAAAAAAAATTCAACATCTGTCTCCAATTTATATTAGAAAACTACTCTGTGGACTGTGGTCACTACTAATAACACTTCTTATTGCTGGGAAAGCCCTGGTGAAACATTTGTCAAGCACATAAAATGATATGAAAGTGAAAATAGTAATTAAGATTTGTGTTCTATTGATTGTGTAGCTTAAGTAATTTTTCATTACTAACATAAGATTTAAGAAGTATAAGTAGTTAAAGATTCTGACTTGGCACTAGTCATTAGCATGTAATTGAACTAGTAAAAAAGATCAGTTAAAGCTGTGTTGATTACCACCTTATCTTTGAAAGGCAATTAAAGACCTCAATCATTGCAACAAGATTTGATTGTGCAGGTTTTATCGGACATTGATCTTTCGGCAAAGTGCAGTTACATTTTCCATTAATTTACAGTAACACAGTTTAACTCTGATACCCTAGACTGCTGACCCAGGTGAGATGTAATGCTAAGTACTTGTTTAGGTTAAGATGCCCCCTAACATCATTATCGTCTGAACAGTAAGTGCTGAAAAACAGTAGATACTTAATCCACTAGCTTTAGGATAAGGTTTCTGCTATCTGCATTAGCTTTTCAGTGACGTGAAACCAAGATCTTCGCCTTTTAGGCATCCCACTTATTCAAACATCATTCTTTAACTGAGTTAAAAGAGATTTCATGAAGAACTACAGATGTTCTGTGCTTACAGTTTTGGGAGAATATAAATATAAATGACCTGAAGTAAAATGTACTTTAAAAAATACGTATGGTTTTTAATAATTAAAAATGTTTTGGCCAGGTGCGGTGGCTCACACATGTAATCCCAGCACACTGGGGGGCCGAGGTGGGCGGATCACCTGAGGTCAGGAGTTTGAGACCAGCCTGACCAACATGGTGAAACCCCGTCTGTACTAAAAATACAAAATAGCCAGGCATGGTGGCACGTACCTGTAATCTGTTACTCAGGAGGCTGAGACAGGAGAATTGCTTGAACCCAGGAGGTGGAGGTTGCAGTAAGCCGAGATCGCACCATTGCACTCCAGCCTAGGCAACAAGAGTGAAACTCCTTCTCAAAAAACGTTTCAATTTTTATGGAAGTCAACATTAGAAAAATAATAATGCCCAAGTATGTGTACTGAAGTAAACTGTAACTGTTTGAACAATTTGGCATTTTAGGACATCAGCACTAAGAAAATGAGAGATTTTTATATTAACAGCCTCTCTCATGCTCCCAAATAAGTTACTGCATCTTTATAGTGGCTCACTGCTTACATAGGAACTAAGAATTTTGCCTAGAAATTTATTCCAATACGGATAATTCATTTGCATAGAAATAATAGAAGAAATGCAAGGTTTTGTACTAAAAGTACACCTTTATTAAAACAGTTTTGGTCGGATTATTTTTATTTATTTATTTATTTTTTGAGACGGAGTTTCGCTCTTGTTACCCAGGCTGGAGTGCAATGGCGCGATCTCGGCTCACCGCAACCTCTGCCTCCTGGGTTCAGGCAATTCTCCTGCCTCAGCCTCCTGAGTAGCTGGGATTACAGGCACACGCCACCATGCCCGGCTAATTTTTTGTATTTTTAGTAGAGACGGGGTTTCACCATGTTGACCAGGATGGTCTCGATCTCTTGACCTCGTGATCCACCCGCCTCGGCCTCCCAAAGTGTTGGGATTACAGGCGTGAGCCACCGCGCCCGGCCGGTCGGATTATTTTAAAGACAAAAATCCTATCAAAGAAATATGACAGAAAAGCTAAATCAGTGGTTTCATCAATTAAGAAAACTCCTGATACGCAGAAGGGCAGGGCCTGTTTAGCTCCTCAGGTGCCACTTCAGGGTTAGTGGGCGTGTGCCTTCCAGGCACCTCCTTCTCTCCCCATCGCCTTATTTTTGAAATCCCTTTATTAATGAAGTCCTTTAAGAATAATGTAAATCTATGGAGGAGAAGAATGTGGATTATAAAAATAGAGCTTTTGCAAAGACAAAAGTAAAACTGACGTACATTTTCAGGTAGAAAGGTCTCGTTTCATTCTCAGATTACAGGTGGAAAAACAAAGACACAGAGGAGAGTTATTAGCCTGAGGTCAAAAGGTAAAACAGCACTGATACTAAAAATAAACTCAGTCGCCTGACTTACACATTTATACTTTCTCCCTTTTAGGCCTTAATTGCTTTGGTGTAATATGCAGCTTTAAAGAAAAAACTTAAACCATTGCTCTTCAATGGGAAGTATTGTTTTCAGACTAAAAGTTTACAAGACTTAATACATCTAATGAATGATATTTAAATTTTTAAACCATGCCTTTACCCATTGTTGAGTTCATCCTTCACCGTGATCAACTCCATCAGATCAAGAGGTCTATTGATTTTCATGTAATACAAGAAAATATTACATTTGCTTTATTGTTACACAGTGAGTGCATGAGGCAAGAAATCAAGGCTCTATTTAATGCTGCAAGCAGCAGAGAATTAGAGAGATCAATAGGGTAGTTTGTCAAAGATGTTCTCCAAGGACACTTACCTATCACCATATGGACAAGAAGTCACACTGACTGTAGCTATTGAAAAACAGGTAAGCAGAGTCAGCAGTACAAATGATCAGAAATCAAACAGGCCAGTGTGAAAAGAGGTGCAACTCTACTGAAAAGCTGTTTTTATAGTCTGGTAATTAAAAGCCATTTTCTCAGCCTTGTGTTGGGACCAAATCTTTACAGCCAGTATTGACAAGACCAGCAGCAATGAATGAGCAGTATTTGACTTAAAACTTATGAGCTATAGTTATTTAACTTTGCCCATTACAGAGGAAATCAGTTCTAGCCTTTCCTGCAAAATGCTAATAGTCAGTTGTTTTATTATTAATGGTGCTTAATGTAACACTATCTCCTTTGTATAAGCCATTCATTTAACTAGTGTCAAGTATATTCTTCTGGACTAAATATATTGGCATAAGTACTTCTTTGATTGAAGTGTTATTTAGAATTGCTTTTAGACAAGTGAACATTACATATATTTGAAGAACAGTTCACTCTGTAGCTCATTTAAAATGACTACCTTTAATGAAGCGAGATTGTATTACTTCATTATTCTGGTGTCTTCACCTCAATCACTTCCACTCACTTTCTCTACTGACTTGGCAGGAGTAAGCATCCAAGTGTTGAATTTTATAAAATGTTTTGCAACAAAAATGTGTAAATGTTGCAGAGTATCAGTAACACATTAACAAAAAATGATATATAATGTATGTTTGTAATTATGGGGGAGATCATAAATCTTAAACACCCATTGGTTTAGAAATTAAATAGTTCTACTTAGTTCTCCCTAAATTACTCCAAATTTCTGAAATTTACCATTCATCTGGGTATTTTGTGACTACCCCAAGGACACATTTTTTAAATGACTTGGCTTTCAAAAATGCAATGAATAAAACTGAAATGCAAAAGTGCCATTAGGTCTTTAACATTTCAGCCCACTCCCTATTGCCAATAAATCTATGGATATGTACAATTTCAATTAATTGCTTTTATAAACAGTTACCAAATTTATTTTTCTGCCTCTTTCTAGAAGACCTTAATTGTTCTTACAGCTTTATAGGAATGCTATTTTAACTTTTAGTAAGTCTTAATTTCATTCACCTTGCTACACTTAACACTAACCAGTTATTCTTACATTTTAAAAATGATATGGTTTAGGATTCTTTAAGCAACAAGACGTTTCAACGTTATACTCCAACCCCTCCTCCGGGTAAATGGCACAAGGCCTTTAAAACATTTCTGCTACAGTCTTGGCAGCTGAATGGTTGAAACTTGAGATTATAATCAGATTCTCATCAATTTTGGATTTGCCAATGATACGATATTATCTCCATCATCTATCCTATTGTCTTCTACTTCGTTTTCCATTGTTTTATAACAGATTTTCCCCCTCCTCTTTTGTGTGGGCATCTATATTTTCTCTTCAGAGTTGATTTAAATTGTTAATACCTAACTAATCTATTACATTGTAATCATTTTTTATCTGTAGGTTAACCTAGTTCTAGGGAAAAAATGGTGTGAAGCTTCACGTGTTTGTAGTTCCCATTAGCTAAACAGAGTATGTAATATATAACAATGTACAAAACGCTTCACCTCTTGAGGGCAATGATTCATCTTAAAGCAGCAGATACCATAGAAAGAAAAAAGTATTTGCAAAAGTTTTATTTTAAAGGATCAAAAATAAATACTGCATATACACACAGAGAAAATCCACTGATATTTATGTTCTTTGATGCACACTTTTAATACATGGCACCTTCATCTTCTTTATTGAGAAAATAAACTGTTATGGGTCCATAACTGGTATGCACAGTCTCTGTGACTCTGGCAAATAACCAGGAGCCAAGTCCATATAATAAAGTTGGAATACCTAGAAAACAAACGAATATGTATAAACATCAATGCCTATTAATCATCCAAGTTACTAATCACATATAACACTCTTCAGCAATGCTAACAAATTATAATGTGATAAAATATAAGAATATCACTCAACATTGACTCTGATTATCTAAGGGCTCAATTTCATCAACATGGAATATGGTGGCAATTACGTGCGTCTAGAGGTTTTCATACTACAGACAAGGTGGGTATAAATTTTAATTCAACTATTTCATTAATTCATTACCCTCAAATCATTATGAAGTAATTCCATATTCTTTTCATAAATAAGCAAATGGAGAAGAATATTCATTAATGTAGTTGTAGATGCTCCTGATTATTAGCCTTAAGCTAAAATTACTAGGTTAACATTACTGTTCTCTTTTTTTTCTTCTTCTTCTTTTTTTGATACGGAGTCTCACTTTGTTGCCAGGCTGGAGTGCAGTGGTACAATCTTGGCTCACTACAACCTCCGCCTCCCAGGTTCAAGCAATTCTCCTGCCTCAGCCTCTCAAGTAGCTAGGACTACAGGCATGTCCCCCGACACCCAGCTAATTTTTGTGTTTTTAGTAGAGACAGGGTTTCACCATGTTGGCCAGGATGGTCTCGATCTCTTGACCTCGTGATCCACCACCTCGGCCTCCCAAAGTGCTGGGATTACAGGCATGAGACACTGAGCCTGGCCAACACTAATGATAAGTCAGTAGCAACAATACCGGCTGTAGTAATTTTTGTACAACTTAAAAGAAACTGGGTCAAAGAGCTGCCTTTAAAACCTAAGGCAAAACCTAACTCTAAGGAAGATTTCAGTACAACAGGCAAGAGAAAGAAAAGCTATTATCAGCATTTTTTTCAATTAATCTGAAAACAACCTCGTTCCAACCAATTTGAAATCGGTATAGTAGACTTCAACATGTGTTTTTTCTTTGGAATTGATAAGATTGTGCTGCTTTGAGATGAGTTGCCATTTGTGATTCATGAAACTAAACACAGTATCCAGAGATATGTATTAAGCACTCACATGCATAGAAGTCTGTGTTGGACACAAAACAAACTTTTGCTTTTCCTATCTTTTTTTTTTTTTTTGAGACGGAGTTTCGCTCTTGTTACCCAGGCTGGAGTGCAATGGCGCGATCTCGGCTCACCGCAACCTCCGCCTCCTGGGCTCAGGCAATTCTCCTGCCTCAGCTTCCTAAGTAGCTGGGATTACGGGCACGCGCCACCATGCCCAGCTAGTTTTTTGTATTTTTAGTAGAGACGGGGTTTCACCATGTTGACCAGGATGGTCTCGATCTCTCGACCTTGTGATCCACCCGCCTTGGCCTCCCAAAGTGCTGGGATTACAGGCTTGAGCCACCGTGCCCGGCTTCCTATCTTTTTTAACTTAGTTAAAATCAATGACTAATATGTTAAAACATATGTAATAGGGTGGGGCGCGGTGGCTCACGCCTGTAATCCCAGCACTTTGGGAGGCCGAGATGGGTGAATCACGAGGTCGAGAGATCGAGACCATCCTGGTCCACATGGTGAAACCCAGTCTCTACTAAAAATACAAAAAAAATAGCTGGGCATGGTGGCGCATGCCTGTAATCCCAGCTACTCGGGAGGCTGAGGCAGGAGAATTGCCTGAACCCAGGAGGTGGAGGTTGCAGTGAGCCGAGATCGCGCCATTGCACTCCAGCCTGGGTACCAAGAGCGAAACTCCGTCTCAAAAAAAAAAAAAAACCATATGTAATAAAACCATAGGCACATGAATCAACAACAAATATTGTATGCTCTGCACAAGCATTAATTTGATGCTCGTATGTGGGAAATGGGCAGAAAGTGACACTTTAAAAGGACAGCTGTACATCTGGAAAATAAATCACTTTCTAGTAATAAAGAAAGTCATACGTGCTCTGGACTAATCATATTGCTAAATTTCTGTCTTATTTTTCTGCAATAATGTATTTGCTGTGTTAAGCTCTTTTTGAGTGTGTTTGCTGAACTACTTTGTGCTTACTCCCTGAAGCTGCTTTCCAGCCACTGTGGTACCAGAGATTAATCAGGAGAAGCATCACATCACTAGCTGGTAATGAGAAGGGAAAAAAATGCCCATTCAGGCTGGCACCTCTCTATTTTTAGGAATATACTGGGTCACAGTTTGTCACCATCACAGGGTTCCCTGGAACGCCCATGAAACCTTTTATTGTGTATCACCTTCTTTGCCCTGATAATGTCCAAAGAATCTCTAAATACCTCAGGGGAATGTCACCAGAAAATCCACAAAAACTAGAATAATAAAGCGACTTATACATCATTTAACCACAAAGAAAAAAAAAAAGACAAGTGGCACCAGGGTGGGAGGTGGAAAAAAATAATATGAACAAGATAGGCAGAAATGAGAGAGAAGTAGAGGGAGTAGTTGAAATAAAAAATAGGCCTGGTGCGGTGGCTCGTACCTGTAATCCCAGCACTTTGGGAGGCCAAGGTAGATGGCTCACATAAGATCAGGAGTTCAAGACCAGCCTGGTGAACATGGAAAAACCCCGTCTCTCCTAAAAATACAAAATTAGCCAGGTGTGGTGGCGCATGCCTGTAGTCCCAGCTACTTGGGAGGCTGAGGCAGCAGAATCGCTTGAACCTGGGAGGCAGAGATTGCGGTGAGCCAAGATTGCACCACTGCACTCTAGCATGGGCAACAAGAGTAAAACTCCGTCTCATAAAAAAAAAAAAAAAAAAGGAGCCAGGCGGGGTGGCTCAAGCCTGTAATCCCAGCACTTTGGGAGGCTGAGGCAGGTGGATCACGAGGTCAAGAGATCGAGACCATCCTGGTCAACATGGTGAAACCCCATCTCTACTAAAAATACAAAACATTAGCTGGGCATGGTGGCACATGCCTGTAATCCCAGCTACTCAGGAGGCTGAGGCAGGAGAATTGCCTGAACCCAGGAGGCGGAGGTTGCGGTGAGCCGAGATCGCGCCATTGCACTCCAGCCTGGGTAACAAGAGCGAAACTCTGTCTCAAAAAAAAAAAAAAAAAGGGAAAAAGAAAAAATAAACTTAAAATGCAGTATCACAACTTCAGAAACTGAAAATCAATGGAGCAAGGAAGAAAAAAAATAGGCTCTAGAAGCAATTACTAATTTTCTAAACATACTGAGACTAAAATATATAAAATATGCCTCTTAAACCAAGGCTAAGGATATAAATTTAAGGAATACCTGGTGACACGGAGAATTTTGTTTTATAGTATTTATCATAGTTTTCAGTTAAAATATTGATACTTCAAAAAAATTCATACTTTTGAAAAATCACAAATACAGAAATAAATAGCCAATATCTTTCAGCTAAGATGAAGGGCGGATCAAAGAGTACTAGCTTAATAACTATATTATGTCTAATTAAAAAATAACTAGGAACCATTAGCAGTAATGCTATTTGACAGGAGATGGGGTTATGATCTGAGTTGGAAATTCTGTATTTTTTTCCCTTTCCTGTCTATTTAATGCATTCAGACTAATATCCAAAATGGGAAGATTTGCCACCTATATAACCTATATATTACAAAATCTTCTTTGTAGCACATATGATTTAAACTCTATAAGATTCTATGAAAAATTCAATTTTTCTGAATAATTAAATTTATATCTGAAACATGTAACATCAAAAGATCCTGAAAAATCAGTTCTTTGCATAATCACTTTGAGTCAGCTGAACAGTAGGTAAACTACTGTCAAATTAAGCACTTTAAAAAATTAGAATTCCTCAGTAAATCCCATTCATTCTGATGGTAAGTTGCTTTTCTTAAATCTCAATCTACTTCTCGGCAGGATACCTAGACTGGTAAACCATTAGTAAAATATCAGCTTCCATTGAAGGGAAGGCAGAGAAAAGGAGTAAATGAGTAAACAGAAATCTTTATTATTTACAAAATGGAAAAATGAATTACTCTAGTAATTACTAATTTGGAAGGGAAGAAGAGGAAGAAAATCCTAAGTATAATATTAGTAAGATATGTACTTGATCATCCAGGGAGACGACTGTACATCACAGAATAGGAAAGGACCCTATTATCTAATTCACATCCCCTCTACCTTCAGACAAAAAAAAAAAAAAAAAAAAAAACAAAAATAAACGTTACCAGACGTGTTCACTGCTTTAAAACATTTTTAAATTCCCTTTATCAGTATATGCCAATTTGTATTAAAGCATGCATGAGAAAAATGTTGTCTTTTTTGTTTAACTTAGAACTCTTATTCCCATTTTAGCAGGATTTTTAGAATTTCCAAAAGGCCATACAGACCATTAAATCACTCTTCCACATAAAAACAAAACAAAAAACACTACAAGTGCTGTTTCTTTCCACTTTAAAAGGTTTTACTTTTTTATGTGTGGAATGTTCTGAGTATCCGCTTTTTTTTTTTTTTTTTTTTTGGATGTCTTTATATCTAAAAGAGAATCCCCTAATCATTAAGGTGATCTTAAAATGTTAACACTGAAATGTGACTTTAGAAGAAAAAAAGGCATTTGGCTCATGGTTTACCTATAACCCTCCTGTTACGCTTTTCCTATTATTCTTTAACTTGGGAAGAATGATTTCTTGATTATCAAAATGCTAAAATAAACTTATACTTCTTGAATCAACATTCCAGTCTTTCCAAATAATTTCGAATTGAATTTTCTAAGTCTCCTCACCCTTCAACTTCAACCAACCTCCAAAGTAGGGGGCATCTTCTATGCAGTCCATCAGCCAAGTAAGAGGCATTTTTAAAAGGATAACACGTTGCTAAATAATCTCCTTACTGGATAGAGCGCAGGACAGTCCAGTGGAGTAATGGCTCAAAAAGCCCACGACTGACATATGTGTTATAAGCAAAAACACACAGATCGTATTTAAATTTAGTGTACGATCAGATTATGTAGTAGTATTAATAGTATGGCTACGCAGGGTTTAGTTTTAATTCTGGCTTTAAAAACCCGGTTGCGTAACATGGTTCATTCAGCTCCATGGCTAGATACTGAATCACTAAAATCTAGATTAATTCTATACCAGCTATTAACAAGTTCAAAACATCCTCAGGCCTTCGGTTTTCCCCTGATCTATAAAAGACACACCCGTGTCCGTGTCCGTACCTTTTCTGTCATGAAACGAAAATAAATACCTAGTGAGAGTCAACACCCTCAGGGCACCTCCGTGACCACATACAAATATTAAAGATCTTTAAAAATATTTTAAAACTAGCACCTCGGGAAGCTGTTATGTCTGGTAAAAACTTTTGGTATCTTTAGTAAAACTTGCTGGGATTTCATATAAAGAAAACAAAGAAACTTAAAAAGTAGTTGCAGTTCTTGCAACATAAACGCAGCCGCAAAGGTGTTCACGGGCATGAGCCCTGCCCTGCAACAGGACGCTGCCAACTTCAGAGCCACTTTCCAGGGGGCGTTTCCTGACGCCTCGCAGCTTAGTGCCCAGGCAGGGGTCGTCCTTTTGTTATTGTTGTTGTCGAAGTTTTATTTCCATATCAATTAGATTTGAATACATTCACCTTCACAGTATCAGAAGTGTAAGGTGTCAAAGATAAACTCAAAAAGAAAAAAAGTCTGGTACGGGCTTTGCACGATTTCAAATACTCTCGACCTTCTTCCACATCATGTTACCTTCAAGAACGGAATAAATATTCAAACTTCTCCACGGCTATACAATGATTAGTTTTCAAATTCTGTGAACTCAGTGAAGTTAATGACACACAGAATTATCATTACATCTTATTAGAACCGAAATTAACGACAACACGTAAACCGCAATGCGTCTGACAGTTACTTGGTAAAACCGGAGCTCGCTTTCCGATTTTCTAAGAGGGAGCGGCCCGCCGCTCCCCAGGCCCGAGGACGCGCCCGCGGGAGAGGGAACGGCTTCGGGGGCCAGGAGCTCGGCGAGCTGGGGACCCCCGGACGAGGAGTGCACGGCACCCGAGGCGCGGCGGGCGCCGGGAGGCAGGGCTGACCCCGCGGGCCCCGTCACGTGCTCGGTGGCTGCGGGGCCGTCCCGGCCGGGCGCGCCTCACCGCGTGGGCGCGGCGGTGCCACTCACCGAGATTGACGACCTTGAGCGCCGTGAAGAAGCGGTTCTGCCGGGCCAGGTCCTGCCAGGGCGCCTTGGAGCAGTGGTACTTGATGAAGGGGAAGCAGCCGGTGCGCAGGACGTGGTAGTTGGCGCCCTGCACCGGCCAGTTGAAGTGCGAGAGGCCGAACTGGTCGTTGCGGACGGCGCTGTAGGGCACGCAGAAGGAGGTCCAGTGCGGCAGGCGCCGCTGCAGCAGGTGCCGCGTCAGCACCTCCGAGGCGCGCGGCTTGGGGCGGGCGGCGGCGCGCGAGGCCCAGGGCCGGCACAGCAGCAGGCGGAGCGCGGCCTCGTGGGCCCACCGCAGGGCCTCCATGGCCCGCCGCGCCCGGGACGCTGGCCGTTGTCCGCGGCGGCCGCGGGGGCGGGCCTAGGGGGTCGGGGCCGCAGGCGCGGCAGCGCGCGCCCCCGGCGAGCGGCGGGAAGGCCAACGGGCGCCGCGCGGGTGCCCGAGAGCCCCCGGGGTGCGGCGGCGCGTGCGCACAGCGGTCACGCGGTCTCCCGCCGGGGGTGGGGTCTGGGGAGGTGAAGAGGGGCGTGACCAGCGCAGAGAAGCTGGTTTTGAGTGACCCCGTGTGACCCCACTTTGTCATTAGTAACTCTGGGGCAGGGGAGGAATTCGGGGAGGTCTCTTCCGTTTGGGTCTGAGGAAAATTCAGGTGTAAAACAATTCAATGACTTAACCACCTTCTCGAGGGGCAGGACTCAAACCCATGTCTCCCTCCCACGCCCTGGACTTTAGGGAAACCCTTGGGTGGCTTTATTGAAACACAGGAGGCGAAGTGAATTGACAGCCAGGACCCCAGGTCTGCGTTGCCTGGAGCACTTTTGAGTGTAGGTCCTCGCTGTCGGGTTCACTGTTTAAAATTAGTCCCAGAGATTTCAAAATCAAAAGTTTATTTGAAAACCTCACGTCTCGGCCGGGCGAGGTGACTCACGCCGGTAATCCCAGCACTTTGGGAGGCCGAGGCAAGCGGATCACCTGAGATCAGGAGTTCGAGACCAGCCTGCCCGACATGGTGAAACCCCGTCTCTGTCTCTGCTAAAAATAAAAAGTTAGCTGGGCATAGTGGCACGGGCCTGAGCCTGTAGTCTCAGCTCCCCCTACTCCCTGGGAGGCTGAGGCAGGCGACGAAGGTTGCAATAAGCCGAGATCACGCCACTGCACTCCAGCCTGGGCGACAGAGCAAGACTCTGTGTCAAAAAAACAAAACAAAACAAAACAAAAAAACGTCACGTCTCTCAGTGCAGTGTCAGGATACACAAAGGCACTTCCCTCTAAGAACCCGATAAACGGACCAGGAGCCTCTTACCAGCCTTCGTGGTCCTCAGTCACCCATTATCAATCCATTACTTTAGGAAAAACTTTGCTCAAACTTTGTGGCTTCTTAAGGCAATAACTTACAGACACACCTGTTTAAAAAAAAAAAAAAAAAAAAAAATCCAGCCGGGCGTGGTGGCTCACGCCTGTAATCCCAGCACTTTGGGAGGCGGAGGTGGGCTGATCACCTGAGGTCAAGAGTTAGGAGACCAGCCTGACCAACATGGTGAAACCGCGTCTCTGCTAAAAATAGAAAATTAGCCGGGCGTGGTGGTGCGCGCCTGTAGTCCCAGCTACTCGGAAGGCTGTGGCAGGAGAATCGCTTGAACCCAGGAGGCAGAGGCTGCAGTGAGCCAAGATCTCGCCAGTGTACTCCAGCCTGGGTGACAGAGTGAGACTCCATATTTTAAAAAAAGAAAGAAATTTCCTCTTTTGTCCTAAACTCATCTTTTTTTTTTGGAGAGGTCATATATGAACAAGATGATGGGTCTGAAAGCACCTTATGTAAACAGGGTACAGTAATTAGGCGTTAAGCATCATATAACAATTACTATGGTTGTTAAAAACTCAAGAGGGAATGTAGCATAGTATGGCGAAATTTTATATTCCCCAGTTTTTATTGAACATTGAGCACTCACCAACATATGCCACATCTTGAACTTCACCTTGTAGAATTTAAACTTGAATTTTGCCTTATAGAACAGAATTTCTTTTTTCTTTCTTTCTTTTTTTTTTTTTTTTTTTTTTTTTGAGACGGAGTTTCGCTCTTGTTACCCAGGCTGGAGTGCAATGGCGCGATCTCGGCTCACCGCAACCTCCGCCTCCTGGGTTCAGGCAATTCTCCTGCCTCAGCCTCCCGAGTAGCTGGGACTACAGGCACGCGCCACCATGCCCAGCTAATGTTTTTGCATTTTTAGTAGAGATGGGGTTTCACCATGTTGACCAGGATGGTCTCGATCTCTCGACCTCATGATCCACCCGCCTCGGCCTCCCAAAGTGCTGGGATTACAGGCTTGAGCCACCGCGCCCGGCTTTATTTTTTTTATTTTTATTTATTTTTTTTATCTTTTTATTTTTTTTGAGACAGGATCTCACCGTTGTCCAGGCTGGAGTGCAGTGGCTTGATCTTGGCTCACTGCAACTTCTGCCTCCCTGGCTCAAGCGATTTTCCCACCCACTCCCAAGTAACTGGAACTACAGGTGTGTGCTACTACACTTGGCTACTATTTTTGGCATTTTTTTGTAGAGGTGGAATTTTGCCATGTTGCCCAGGCTGATCTTGAACACCTGGGCTCAAGTGATCTGCCCGCCTCTGCCTCCCACAGTGGTGGGATTACAGGTGTAAGCCTCCACACCTGACTAATTTAAATTTTAAAAAACAGTGGAGTCCTTCTTCAAACAAAATCTGTTGAAGATCCCCAACATATAAAGGTTAAAACTTATGCTTTATTACTAAACATAAGTTCAAAAAAATTGTTTTAAGTTTTTATTTTACTTATTTATTTTTTTAGGCATGGGTTCTCACTGTGCTGCTTAAGCTGATCTAGAACTCAAGTGATTCTCTCACTTCGGCCTCTTGAGTCGCTGGGATTACAGGAGCCACCATGCCCAGCTTATTATAAATCCAAAATTTTTATATTAACTTTATAGGTAAATTAAAAAACAATGAAACTCATGCGTTGTTGTCTTGGATTTTCTTTTGTTTTGAGCATAAAGGGGCTTCATTGGAAAAAAATTGGGTAGCCCAGATAATAAACAGGAAGTCTAGAGAACCAAGCTCTGAAAATGGGAGGGAACCAGGAGAGTCTTAACAGCAAAGACATACATAAAACCAACAGGAACTGGTCTGGCAAGCATGCCATTGCTGGCCCCATTGCCACTGGACTCCATCCTGTTGCTGGCAAATGTTGAAGCTGGGAGTTGTGGTTGTGAAAGTTGATCCTCTGAATTGAGTGGTTCTGATCCCCAGCTAAAACAGTGGAAAGGCCAGGGGGAGAAAGCACTCAGGACACATAACATTCCTTTAGAAATGTCATTCTCTGCAAGTTCTACTGCTGAAACTGCCTGTTGTAACCTGAGACCAGTTTTGTTTTGTTTTGTTTTTGTTTTTTGGGGTTTTTTTGAGACGGAGTTTCGCTCTTGTTACCCAGGCTGGAGTGCAATGGCGCGATCTCGGCTCACCGCAACCTCCGCCTCCTGGGTTCAAGCAATTCTCCTGCCTCAGCCTCCTGAGTAGCTGGGATTACAGGCACGCGCCACCATGCCCAGCTAATTTTTTGTATTTTTAGTAGAGACGGGGTTTCACCATGTTAACCAGGATGGTCTCGATCTCTCAACTTCGTGATCCATCCGCCTCGGCCTCCCAAAGTGCTGGGATTACAGGCTTGAGCCACCGCGCCTGGCCTCGCCTGAGAGCAGTTTTATCTGTAACTGCTGAGATAACTTGCTGCAACTCGAGGACTAATTCTCCCCGCTGCTCTCACTCACCTAATGGAGCTTGCCAGCCCCCGAGAACTTGACTAGTGCCAGTGAACTTTCTCAAAGAGCTATATGTAACATTTTTCTGTTTTATAAAAGCTCCAACCTTCTCTTTGCTCTTCGGACATACTGATGACCGCCTGGTCCATGTGTATATACCAAATTGCAATTTTTTCTTCCCCAAGGAAGCATTACATTTAGAGATCAATCTCTATATTTTAACTTCAACATAGTTGCAGTTACAGCAGACTTAGCACCCACGTTATTTCTGCATCTTCTGTTTAGGTTGTATACTATTAAGAAACTTCTGATTTCTCCAGAGAAGTAGATACAAATAAGAGTGGTTTTTCAATGATTCACCTTGAAATCTGGGCATGTGCTTCAATTACAAAAATGGCAGCAGGAGATTAATTATGAGATCTACACTGAAATGACTTAACCTCAAATTAATGTGTGGGCAGTTTGCAATATGTTACATTTTGGCATTATCTCTCTTTTGGCAATATAAAAATCTTTAAAAAAAAAAACAAAACATGAAATTTAAGTTAAACATGCAGAACCCCTGAAGTATGTCTTGGAAACCCTAGGTCCTGTGGCATATGAGATGAAAACCACTGATAAAGACAACCAGGTATTACATATGTTCACTGCATTTTCTCATCAAGAAGGCTTGGGAAAAGGGCTAGCAAACTGAAGGACTTCTGCTGGGAGCAGCTCTCTTGGCTAAACCTCATCAGCAGTGAGGGTTTCCTTTAATCCGAGGCTCTTTCACTATCTCCCTTTCTTTTCTATTCTAAGGTAGAAAGTTCCCCCAAAGAGAGCCAAAACTGGTGGACTACACCCCGTATTTAAGAGTGTTTGAATGAAACATTCCCCTACCTAAAGATACAGAGATGGAGAAAATACCATCTCTTCTAACTTTAAGATTATATGGTGCCATTTCCATAATTGAAATAAGATAATTTCTCAAAACACCACCAACAAAAACCAACCTACAAATCAGATGCTTGATTTTCTTTTCAGTTCCAATTCTTCATGGCTGTGAAACAAAGGGGCCTAGGGATGTGTTTGAAGCTGGCAATCAAAAGTCTAAGTTGATGTTTTGTTTTGTTTGAGACGGAGTCTTGCTCCGTCGCCGAGGCTGGAAGGCAGTGGCATGATCCTGGCTCACTGCAACATCCACCTCCTGGGTTCAAGTGATTCTTGTGCCTCAGCCTCCCAAGTAGCTGAGACTACAGGCGTATGCCACAATGCCCAGCTAATTTTTTTGTATGTTTAGTAGAAACAGATTTTCAGCGTGTTAGCCAGGATGGTCTCAATTTCCTGACCCCATGATCCACCCGCCTTGGCCTCCCAAAGTGCTGGGATTACAGGTGTGAGCCACCGCGATGGGCCAAAGTTAATGTTTTTTTAAAAAAGTTGTATCCTATAATTAGGAATGCATTAAATACATTTTCCACATAGCATAGAGAAATGGTATCTCTCTTAAAAGGAACCCCTTAAAATGGTGATAAGCACTGATACTGTGTACAGCATCTAGCATGAGCACATACACTTCACGCTGCTCCTAAAAGGGACTTAGCATTCCTGTTTTTGTTTTAAAGGCATGTAGAGCATTGTAGGTGCCTAGGACATGTTAAAAATAAATTTAGGCCAGGTGCGGTGGCTCACGCCTGTAATCTCAACACTT